ACAACCCATGCAGTAGAAACATCACTTCTCACCTGGTCCAAAGAAGGCCAAGGTTGTTTCATCTGCAGAGAAGGTGATGGAGTGCAAAAAGCATTGTACTTATTGACTATCTTCAAAAGGGCCACACAATCAATGATGAGTACTATGCCAACTTGCTGAGACAGTTACAAAAAGCTATCAAGACCAAACACCAAGGAAAACTGATGAGCCTTCTTTCATCAGGACAATGTTCCAGCACACAAATCCTTGGTTTCAAGGCTTACTATGCATGAATGTAGCTTTGAACTGGTTGATCACCCTCCCTATTCTCCTGATTTGACCCCATCTGACTATCAACTGTCCCTAAACATGAAAAAAAAAAAAACACTTGGCTTGAACCAGTATTGCAGTGATGATGACATATCTGCTATTGATGACTTTTTTGACCAACAGAATGAAAGCTTCTTCACTAATAGGATCCAAGCACTGCAACACCAATGAAAAATGTGTATGAACGCCAAGGGGGACTATGTTAAAAAATAAATCTCATTTGGTCACATTCCATGAGAGTATCTTGGTCAGCCTATGAACTTTTCAGCCAACCCTTCCAAGTTCCTATTAGGTAGTATCTAGACCATGTTTAGGCTAGCACAAAACCAGTACTTATTGAGGATTAAACTCACTGTAGTAATGATCTTGGAAACTAGATTGCTAATCATTGCTCCATGGTGAAATATTAAAATATTAGCGTCTATAATGAAAAAATGTTTGGTGCATATGGAAACAATAAAAGCAAGCACAAAACATTAGTGTCTTTGTGATTTCTCCCTTTATAATTTTTCTAAAAATATCAGTCTACTGTTCCTGGTTTCACTTAACAAGTCATGTTTCAAATGATTTCCTAATTTTTGAAGTTGTAGATATGAAAGAAAAGGCTTAAACAATCCCCACTATTATGAAGAAAACTTGTTTTTTAAACTACCTACTCATTAAAAGCTCTGCATATGTGATCAAGCACTTTGTCACATTTTTTTCTTGATAAGGATTGGTGAACTCTACAAACAAAAACTTGTTCTTTATATATATATATATATATATATATAGATAGATAGATAGATAGATAGAAAGAAAAACTGGGTTGTCTTATTGAACATGTAATTTGGATAAAAATAAATTGTATTTAGAATATAATTAAAACCAGATTTAATTCAGATTTCTTTCTATTTTTATCTCTTTTTCTGAAATGACTTGATGTCATAAATAGATGCTTACCATATGCAGAAGAAAACTGTACAATGTTTTATGGATGAGGATCAAAGTTTGAAAGGGTGGAAAAGATCAACAATATAACCCAAACAGCAGAACATAAATAAAAAGCAAAACTTTAAAAGAATTCTCTTTTGTTTCTTCTTCTAAATTACTTGAATTCAGGAATAAAATTCCTTCAGTATTAACACACCTTTTTTTCATATTAATATTGATGTTTATAATAAAAAAAAAAATCACTAAAATTTGTTATGAACATTTAAAATGACTATAGGTGATAGTATAATAGTAGACTTGTACTCTATCTAGTTATAATAATGGAAATACAAGCTGTTTCCTTACAAAGAAACATTCGGCAACCAATGAGTGAACAGCCAGGGTTATTTTTCAGATGACATACATACATATTATGAAATGGACAAAGTCCGACAATTATTTTAAGACATTTTTTTATGTTTATACGTTCTTTTTATAGATACATATATTTAAGTAAATGCTCTGTTTATAATAAACAGTATTAACAACATTTACCAGCCCGAATGTCTGAGAAATTCTTGTAGAAAATATGTGTTCTCCGACAGGAATCGAACCTGCATCCCATGCAGAACTATCATATAGCCTAAATAAACAGAACATTTACTTAAATATTTGTATCTATAAAAAGAACATATAAACATAAAAAATGTCTTAAAATTAATGTTGGACTTTGTCCATTTCATAATGTGTGACTTCATTTGTTTACATTTGGATATGCATTGAGCAAATATGAATGTACGAGAGAAAATCATTGAAAATTGTAGTTTAAAAACAGTAAAATCAACCTTGCAAACCAAAACACTCCTCTGTGGCTCAGTTGGTAAAAGCATGTCAGGCTATATGATGGTTCAGTATGGGATGCAGGTTTGATTCCTGTCAGAGGATGAATATTTTCTATGAAACTTTCTCAGGCATTCAGGCCGGTAAATGTTGTTTAATACTGTTTATTATAAACAGAGCATTTACTTAAATGTTTGTATCTATAAAAAGAATGTATAAACATAAAAAATGTCTTAAAATACATACATATATACATACATAGCTGTGTTTTTTTGTTGAGGCAGAACTGTGGGTCCTGCCTGAGAGAGAATTTTTCATAAGGATTTGAGTTAAGATTTTACAAAGCTGGATGATCTTTCTGACACCCAACTCAGATAGTCATGGTAGTTCTAGTACATTGAGTGGTTTTATCAAAACACCAAGTCTAAAAAGGTTGCCATTCAAGGCTTGAGACCACATCCTAGCCATATATGTTGATCTTGGCTGGTTTTAATGCCAACCACCTGTCCATGCAGCAGGTTGTACTGGGTTACATGTTACCAGTAGCAAGCCTAAGCCTGGCCTGAAAACTATATATACAATCAACAACGAAATTATTTGTACTACCATCAATTTTGAATATTTTTATCCATTTCTCAGAATCTAATGCCCATATGATGCCAGGTTTTTTATATGTTAATAAGCACGAAAACAAGAATACAAAACTCAATTCTTAGAACAATAGGCTAAAATAGAACAACTAAAGTTGGTCAGTTCGGCAATTTATGTTTTGGTATCAGTTTCCAGATTTGTTTTCCTTGATACAGTGGTTTTCAATTTGGTTTTTCAGTTTTTAATTTAGTATTTTTGCTTTCTAAGGAAGCCATTGATTTTCTTATGTAATGATAACATTTCCAGTTGATATCTGATTTCGTTTGAGATTGATAAATTTGAAACTTAATCCGTTCAACTTGCAATATCTCATGTATTTATGGTCCAATCTTAAAAATATTCATGTCTGGAAAGAAAATAATCTTTCTAAATATGTTATTTGTATGTGCTCTTAGCCTTTTATTCATTATTTTTTTTACAGCGGCTTAAAACAGTATTGCTTCAACCAGTCGAAAATGCGAAATGATTTTTTTTCAAATATTTGTAAAAATAAAATGAATTAATTTTCCTTGTTTAGAAGAATTTTATAGGCAGAACAGTAACAAACACCCACCAAACACTAGTGGCTAAAAAAAGAATAATTTTTACTTTGGGTTAAAAAAAAAAATACTTGCAGTTTTGAAAATATACACATTTTAAAACTGAGATTAAAACTTACTTTATTTTTTTCATGTCTAATTTTAGGTGTATTTGCTAGATAGAAACATAATTTTATTTGTAGAAAATAGAGACTTGCATATCTGGAAATATACACAACTTAAAAGTGAAATTAAGAACTATTTTAATTATTCTTAATATCTAATTTAGGTGCATTCCCTAGATAAAAAAACAAATTTATTTATAAAAATAATCTTCATTCATTTTTCTCATTTACAACAACTTTATTTTGCGATTGGCATAATGGCTTACTAGAAAACCCTTACTACAAAAAACCCAACTTCATAAAATTTAACATTAAGACAAGCCTGGCAACTATTTTTTTTTTTTTTTTTTTACTCACCATTTTGTTATTAACTTAATTTTACAGCAAAAAGTTTCTTTTTTTTTTTTTTTTAAACTGAAACAAATAGATTTCACTTTCAGACATGTCATATTTCCTTTTTTTTCTTCTTCATTTCTTTTGTAAACAAACAGATTTCACATTTATTTCTTAAAACTAGTCAATTAAATATTTTTAACATATTTTTGTTCAATCTTTTTCTCTTACAATAGTACAAATGTTAATTAATAAAACTTAATTTTATTAACATCTGAGAGTCTTTTTCAATAGTGTTTTTTGGATATGGTTACTTAGTAGTGACATAAAAATGAAACCGAAATTGTTTGGTTTCGTAAAAAATTTGATGCAGTTTCACAGTATGAAGATGAAACAGAAAAAAGTCGGTTTTTCGGTTAAACTGCACATCTTTAACACCAACTCTGACAGGCAAATCATGCAAAATAGGAAAAGACAAAATTATTTGTACAGTAGAAAATATCATTTTAAATTGATTGATTCAAGTATAAGTAATTTACATAATTATTTTATCAGTGAAGCCTTCTAGACCATTTCTTCAGTAGAATATTTGTGATAATTCCAGCACCTTTGTTATTAGTTTTTTTCAGCATTTTTTAGATCCTTTTCATTTTGATCATGCCATTATTTTCTCTCCAAGTTAAATGTGATATCCATTTTAGTTGTTGCTGTTGTTGAAAGTTCTCAAGTTATGTGATTTTTGTTATTTGATACAGTTCTTTGTTTATGATTCTGTCATGGCAGTCCACAAGGTTTGAAGAAGAATGGTTGTTACTAAGACCTTCAGACTTCATTTGCTGGAAGCCACTTTTGACCATCGATCTAAGAAAGGTGCCATCACTGCATTCATTCCAATTCCAGATTATGCTTTCTGTTTTGGACATGTTTATCTTGAGTCTTATTTCTTGAAATACTCATTAGAGGATGTAGATTTTTGTTCAAGATCATTCTTATCCCAATTATGAATACTTATGCCATCAGTATAGCCCACCTTATCATCGGTACATAGGCAGTACACTGGAGGGAAAGCAAGCATGCTGTTTACTATTAGTAGATTTGTCTGGGATGCAGTATGGAAGGCTTTTAAATGATCAATGTTCATCTCTTCACATCTCTGCTTGTATATATAGAGGTCATAATCTAGGAAAAGATTAAATAAATTGGGCTTTTCATTTTCTCCTTGTCATACTCTTGATGAGTTTTGAAATGGTTCTGTATTGAGATCCTTGCTAAACATCCTAGCTGTATTGTGTCAGGTATCTGCACATCCAAGCTTGCAGCACCTGGTATTCTCAAGTGGTCACCCATATAGGTACTGACCAGGCTTGATGTTGCTTAACATCAGTGATCAGACGAGAACCAATGTTTTAATGTGATATGGCTGTAAGCTGGTAAATGGTAGTCAAACCTCTTAATAGTATAGTAATAGTAACAGGGTTGGGAAGTTTTCTAAATTTCTTAGACAAGATGGAAACCTACCTTATGATCAGATTTTAAGCTAGTTCCTGTATAAGTTTCAAATGAGGACCCAATAAGAGACAGGATTTGAACTCAATGTATTTCTTATTTAAAAATCATTGTCATCATGAATTCTTGTATCACATTTAAATAACTTTAAATTAAATATATCTGCAAATGCATACACATATTTTCAAATTTTGATTTTCTGGTAAACAAGAAAAAAAAAATTTATATTGATTTTGTCTAGGAAATTTTCAGCTAAATGTCTACTTTATATAACTAAACAAAAAGTTAAAACATTCAATTTAACTAAGCTGATGGTTAAAAAGTAAAGGTTTTTTTTTTAGCATCACTCGTATTGAAATTAAACTCCTTGCTAAAAACTTATTATAATTAGTTGAATTTACTGATAATCAACAATTACGAAAAGGAAAGGTTAGTCAAAAATTAACAGTGAGCATTAGACTTTGATGTTAGATTAATGAACTCTTATTTCTTCTAGACTAAAAATCCTAACAATTTGACATGTTTAGTGATTTTTTTATTCTTTTTATTAGAAATACACACAAACCAGTACATTTTAGTCTGCAAATTTATTTCTTATAAAAAAAATATTTTATTCATATTTCATTCAATAGTTGACTAGAAATGAAGATAATATTAAACTTTACTCACTACAGATTATTTTTATTAACAAAATATTTTGATTTAAAATAAAGATAGATGCCATGGTAATAAATAAGATTTTGTATAATGTCTTGTAAATAGATTTATTCTTTCACTAAGAAGCCTTTATTTAATCTGAATATTTTTCTTGAAGTATTATTTGATATTGATTCTTTCAATATAATCTATAAAAACTGATAAAAAGATTAGTTAATAATGAGAACAAGATGTGCTAAAAATTGATTGAATACCAGCCTAAAATATCAAGATTCCAATATGAATCATCATATCTGGAACTAGAAGTTATTTATAAAGAAGTAAAAGCCATAGAAAAAAAGAAAACTTCAAAACCACTCTTTGGAACAATTAACCATTTATATATTCTGTCAAAGTCAGAAACCATAGTTTGTCTCTGAATATCTCAGGAATCATTGAATTGGCTTCATTTACAAAGGTTTCTTAACCCTTTCAAGTCCACATTTGTATAATTGATGTATACAGTAAAAATTATTGTTCATTTCAGTAGACATATCTAAATGACTTTGACTTAGAAAAATAATATTTCCGAATGTATTATTATAAATATAGCAATTGGATACTAAGTCCGCTATATCCTATATCAATGTGTTTTTGGGACAGTTATGTCCCAGAGGACATGTTGAAAACATCTGTGGGGCACATATGTCCCAGGGGACTCAAAAGGTTTAAGGCAAGAATCACATTAAAAAGTGTCTGGCTAAATATTGATGGGTAAAATATGATATATGTATGCTGGCTTCTATTAAAGTTGATAATTCTGTTACAGTGTTTTTATAATTATGACTACCTGGAGTGTAGTCATGACAGATTTGTTTTCTCAAGCATTTACTCTTTTCACTGTCAATCATCATGACATGTTAAGAGGTAAAACTTTTTTTATCAAGATAACTGGAGGAGGAAGGCAGTAAAAAGATATGGATTCATGCCTGAATATAAACTAGTTCATCTGAAATTTGAACTTGGTTTGCAAATTTCATTTTTTTTTTTGGTGTCGATAACTGTAATGCTACCTCGTATTTCTGCAGAGATGCAAGTAATCAAAGAATAAGGTGAAAAGGAAATGCCATAGTCTGTCAACAGTACTCATTAAATGTTTTCACCAGAAACATTTTAATTCTTTCAAAAATATCATTTGAAAATTCTATCACGGTTTTTACACACAAAATTATTCACTTAAGTAAATGTCTGTGAAAGTCATATTTTCTCTAGGACTGTTATTGGTAGTCGAATGGTTCTCTTGACTTTTTTTAATTATTTCACCCTAAGCAAGCTGATAATACCACTAAGATGCAAGGGGTTACTGGGAGTGAAAGAGAATGAGAAGATTTTAGTGAGGAGAAAGGACAATAAAAAGTAGTGTTCAGGAAGAGAGAAGATGGCAGTCGGGATCACATTTAAATTTTTGAGAATTGTAGATGGCAGGGAATAAAAAAAGAGAGTTCCACAGGTGAGAAGTGCAAGCACAGAAACTATTAGAATCAAACTTATGGCTACATCAAACTGTTTCAACAATAAAATGGTGAAACTTACTTGCTAATCTAGTAGTATGTTTAAATTGATGCGTTTGAGATAGCAAGATCGATCAATTGATTCAATCAATGTCAGTGAAAAATGTCAGATCAAGAAGATGCAAATGGAAATTTTCTAAGCGTGTAAATATAAAAATATTTGATCTACCAATTCTGAATTCCATGGTGATAATAATTATACTATCACATACCTCAGGAGCAGTATCTAAATTATTATTGTTGTTTTTATGAAATTTAATCAAATTAATGAGCTGTTTGTGTAACATGTTATTTATGAAATTTAATCAAATTAATGAGCTGTTTTTATGAAATAACAAATTATGTTATTTAACAGTGAAATTTAATCAAATTAATGAGCTGTTTGTGTAACATTTATTTATTTATGAAATTTAATCAAATTAATGAGCTGTTTGTGTAACATGTTATTTATGAAATTTAATCAAATTAATGAGCTGTTTGTGTAACATGTTATTTATGAAATTTAATCAAATTAATGAGCTGTTTGTGTAACATGTTATTTATGAAATTTAATCAAATTAATGAGTTGTTTGTGTAATTTTTAAAATTTAATCAATTAATGAGCTGTTTGTGTAACATGTTATTTATGAAATTTAATCAAATTAATGAGCTGTTTGTGTAACATGTTATTTATGAAATTTAATCAAATTAATGAGCTGTTTGTGTAACATGTTATTTATGAAATTTAATCAAATTAATGAGCTGTTTGTGTAACATGTTATTTATGAAATTTAATCAAATTAATGAGCTGTTTGTGTAACATGTTATTTATGAAATTTAATCAAATTAATGAGCTGTTTGTGTAACATGTTATTTATGAAATTTAATCAAATTAATGAGCTGTTTGTGTAACATGTTATTTATGAAATTTAATCAAATTAATGAGCTGTTTGTGTAATATGTTATTTATGAAATTTAATCAAATTAATGAGCTGTTTGTGTAACATGTTATTTATGAAATTTAATCAAATTAATGAGCTGTTTGTGTAACATGTTATTTATGAAATTTAATCAAATTAATGAGCTGTTTGTGTAACATATTATTTATGAAATTTAATCAAATTAATGAGCTGTTTGTGTAACATGTTATTTATGAAATTTAATCAAATTAATGAGCTGTTTTGTGTAACATATTTATTTATGAAATTTAATCAAATTAATGAGCTGTTTGTGTAACATGTTATTTATGAAATTTAATCAAATTAATGAGCTGTTTGTGTAACATGTTATTTATGAAATTTAATCAAATTAATGAGCTGTTTGTGTAACATGTTATTTATGAAATTTAATCAAATTAATGAGCTGTTTGTGTAACATGTTATTTATGAAATTTAATCAAATTAATGAGCTGTTTGTGTAACATGTTATTTATGAAATTTAATCAAATTAATGAGCTGTTTGGTGTAACATGTTATTTATGAAATTTAATCAAATTAATGAGCTGTTTGTGTAAATTTAATCATGTTATTTTATTTGAAATTTAATCAAATTAATGAGCTGTTTGTGTAACATGTTATTTATGAAATTTAATCAAATTAATGAGCTGTTTTATGTAACATATTTATTTAATGATGAAATTTAATCAAATTTAATGAAATTAATCAAATTAATGCTGTTTAGTAATATGTTATTTATGAAATTTAATCAAATTAATGAGCTGTTTGTGTAACATGTTATTTATGAAACAAATTAATTTTGCATTGTTATTTATGAAATCAAATTAATGAGCTGTTTGTGTAACATGTTATTTATGAAATTTAATCAAATTAATGAGCTGTTTGTGTAACGTTTGTGTAACATGTTATTTATGAAATTTAATCAAATTAATGAGCTGTTTGTGTAACATGTTATTTATGAAATTTAATCAAATTAATGAGCTGTTTTTACTTGTAACATGTTATTTATGAAATTTAATCAAATTAATGAGCTGTTTGTGTAACATGTTATTTATGAAATTTAATCAAATTAATGAGCTGTTTGTGTAACATGTTATTTATGAAATTTAATCAAATTAATGAGCTGTTTGTGTAACATGTTATTGGCACAGAAGGTTCACTATCAGTTCAATTTCTTGCTAAGCCTGTGTATTCACTTTCACACAAAATCCCTTGGTATATGTATGAATCCATATTCTCACCCTATCTATGGGTTAAATAGCAAAGTAGACTGAACTCTCTAGTCCAATAGCTCTAGGAGAATGTGTAGTTAGCAGTTTGAAACCATTCTACTATCTTTCCAAAGAAGTTAGCGATATCCAAAGATATTAAAGAGAGGGAAGCTATGGAGAGGTGTGTCTACTTATATCCTGAAATGATATGGCATTTAAAAACGCAATCTAAACATCACTGTATTGTTTAATTTTATTGTAAGAGAAATATACAAATGAGGACATAAGTAATTTATAAGTCCATAACCAGACATGCTTGGAGTGAATTGATAAAAAAAAGAACAAAAAATAGTGGATAATTTAAATAAAAGGATAGAATGTTGTTAAAATTGCACCAAAAGTATTAAAATAAGAATTTCTGTTTTGAATAGTTCATGGCAGTATTAAACCATTAATAATTAATTACCTTTGTTTACAGCTGTGTTATAGAACTGTAATGATGGAAATTAATGTCATCTGAAATTAATGGGTTAAGATTTAACCTATCTATATCCTCACTATCTCTTCAAAAGTAATGAAATTATTTCTACTTTTTAGTTTAGTAATATTCCTCTAGCACTGTGTAGACCCTGAACTTTTACCTATCATGATGGAAGGTTTTCTCTCAAAGGAAATTCCTTGCCTTGAACAGATATTGGGACTGAAGCTCTCCCCAGACCTCAAGTGGAAATCATATGTCCAACTTATCGTTAAAGATGCTGAAAAAATGATTGGTTCATTGTAGTGCCCCATTAAGAATCTGACTCACCCTGTTATATTCAATAGGAGAAAATATTAACAACACTGACATTTTGTTTCAGGCAATCAAAATGAAAACAAAGTAACTTATACAGTTAACAACTTTTGTAAAGATGTTTGATAGAAGACATTTCAGATATAAAAAATAATGATAGAGTGAACATATATGTCATTTCTATTTGGAGATAATTAATTATAAAGTTGTTTGCTGTGATATACACTGTGTATGTGTATGTGTGTGTATATATATATATATATATATATATATATGGTTGAAGAAAAAAAATCCATACATTCAGTTAAAATTAAAAATAAAATCATCCTTGATAATGGCTAAAAGAATAGCTGAAAGCGCTTGGACATACAAAACATTTGAACAATTCCTATATAATTTATGTCTAGAAAAGAAAACACATAAAAAATTAAATTTTCACAAAACTTATATAAAAGAGAGAATATATATATATATATATATTTTGAACAATTCCTATATAATTTATGTCTAGAAAAGAAAACACATAAAAATTAAATTTTTCCAAAAACTTATATAAAAGAGATATATATATATATATATATATATATATATATATATATATATATATATATATATATATATATATATATATATATATATATATATATATATATATATATGAAGAGGTACAGTGGAGTAATGGATAGCAGCTTGGATTGAGGGAATTGGAGAGCCAAGTTCAAATTCCAATCAGATCCATTACATTCACTTACATGTTAATAACCTTGAGGGAGGTATTAATCCTCTTCTCCCCCCAGTTATGGGTAAATAGCAGGACAGAGTGGGTTCTATAGCCTTGGATGGCAACTGGTCTAGGAGAAGAAGAACTCTGAATTCAAAAGCTGCAGAGGGTCATTTGGGGACCTTGTGGCATGTTGTGCACCAGATATCTGTATTCAGCTCATCAAAAAGCATGGCTGGTTTTGCACAAAGCTTTCACCACTATAATCAAATCATATGTGCAGGTGTCTGGCTGTTACTAGGAACTAAATTGCTTGACCATCATACTTCAAGAAAATGATGGGAGAGTCCATACACATACACACATATGCATACATGCATAAACAAATGTGCACAAAATCACATGTACATATATAAAGAGAAAAAAAATCAGCCTAACACCGATAAGAACATCCAAACTAATGCATAAATTAATTACATCAGTCTAAAAATAACGAAAATTGAGAAAAACAGCAGTCAGTTGCTGAAACATCCTGATGAGTGGACTTAGCAATTACAAAAGTTCATCTACAAAACTCTAAAGTTGAGATGCTGAATATAACACCAATCAGCTAAATGACAAATGTTATTTGTATTAATCATATATATATATATATATATATATATATAACTTGTTGAGTGTCCTATAGTCTTGTGATAAATATAAATGGGTTAAAATTTACCTGATTTTATCCTAAACTTAATAAAAATAATTATGATTTATTTTTAAGCACAAATTCCTTTGCCATTTGTACTACCACTGATTAAAAAGAACTTTACTATTTGTAGTTTTTATTTTTTAATTCAACAATAAATGAGTAGTTATTTATGGTGCAAAGAAATAAACTTACCCAAGTCAATGGCTAACCAATTATTGGTATTAAGACCTTCAATCTTTATAAATGGGTCACTCTTGTGTTTCTTCTGTTTATACTGCAAAGAAAATTAAAAAGTCAAAGTTATGTAAAAATGGAAATACATTTACTAATATTTTTTTGCTAATACAAGGCCTGAGAGCCACTCAATGGAGAAGGTTACTGAATGAGGTTGTTGTATGAGTGGTAAGAATAAGAGGTAAAAAGTGCAATTTATGAAGATATCTGGGAAAGATAACATTTAATCCTAGACTTGAAGAGGTTGAACAGCAATCTTTTTATAAGAATTGTTGGATTCAAGAGAAGCATTTCTGCAAATTTTCAGTAAATAAAAGTTGATCCTAACATCTCTTCTAATTCCAACTTTGGCTTTTAATCAGGTCAGGGTTGCTAGACTGAACTAACTTTGAAAGCCCAGCATTAAATTTTGACTTTCACTATTTGCATTTGGGTAGGGGGCTATTTTTAAAAATAAAATTGAGCTAATTTGGGAAGAAAGCCAATACAGAATTTAGTAGCATTGGTCTTTCAACAATAACCCAACTTGCTACTTGCAGCACTGAATCAAGTCTCTTACATTTATTTATACAAAATATTTTTTCCTTTCAAAATCTTACATATTTTAGCCTAAAAACTATCAAGTATAGTCATTTTTTTTTTTAAATTTGAGTATAACCAGAGACCTGCAGATTCTTGAATGCTTCAGTACATTTGACAAACTTAATTTTCTTATCTTTTTACCAAATGCAAAAAAGAATTACAGGGCATAGAACACGATAAGAAAACTTATGTGAAGGTTACCTAAATTTTTTTTTTTTTTTTTTTACTAAGTATGTTTATCTCTTGATTCCAATAACTCATTTCTAGAACATTCTCTATTTCTTTAGAAAAAGGAATATCTGTGCAAACAGTTTAATGAAGGGATTAAAATTGAATACAATTTTTCTTTTTCTTTTTAAATAATTATCTCACTACCACCTCTAACTTGCAACACAGCCACTAGCTGTCTGACTTTTGTCAAATGACCGATAGATGATCCTCATTAAATAACAATTAAAAAAGTTAATTGCTGTAAGTGATCACCAATATCATTATTTTAGATTTTATTAAATCATTAGATGTGAATATAAGTATAATAAATAAAAAAACGCAAGATATTTTTTACTGATAATCTTAAAAACAAAAACATTAAATTTTCTCCTGATAATGAGGCAATTTAGGATCCCAAGATCTAGAAAATCTGATGAAAAAGTAAAATTCACACTTGTTTAAAATATAACTGTTGATTAAATAATCTAGACAAAAGATGAACATGATGTTCATTCTCAAATTTTTACCCTGTTCTGCATTTTAATCAGAATATGTGGGTATATCAAATACTTCAGGGTGCTGAATGTTGTTGCCTTGTATAGTTCACTACCCCTTGGAATATGAGTAGACAGAGCTCATTAGCCGAGCAGTCAATCTACGATTTCAAAACTAGAGTAGATGGGACTCCTTATTTATTTAGATGACAATCCTTCCAGTATCCAATTGCTTCATCTTTGTAATGAGGGTAAATAAGCTGTAGCTCAGTAACCAGTTTCAGAGTATTTTTTGTTCAACCTGTACAAGGCCCAAGAACAACTCAAAATGGCTGACCATAGACTTGAACAGGTAAAAACTGTAATAATCAGGGAAGCATCTTCTTAGAAGTTAGTTCAGGAACAAGCTGCTCATGTGAATCTTACATCTCACCAATGAAATACAAAGGAAATGAGGGTGGTCTGTTATAACGTGCATGGCATTGGGGGGGGGTCTTAAGGTTAGAACTGATGGAACTAAGGAGTGTTGTTTGTCTGAACACTTTTCATCAAAATAGCAATAGAGCAGTGAAAAAGGAGTTGTTGGGTGGAAAATAATTTGTCACCCACAAGGACACAGAGACAGGAAAGTAAGGACTGGGTAGCTCCTGTCCAAATTTGACAGCAGTACTCCATTTTCAGCCTAATCAGGCTCTTGTAAAGATAGATGATAGCAGGAGGAGTCAGGTACTTACTGGAGCGGTACAGGAAACCAATGATATTTCCAGCATCTTTAGCAATGGATCCTGTATACGAGTTCCACTAGAGGTCTGGGCTCAGTTTAAATCCCAATAGGCAATGAAGGCACAGGGCCTTGCTGAGAGAATGTCCATTCATTGTGATAGGTGAAAATTCAGGGTTCATTTGGTGATAAAGGAAAATTACTAGCTTGATTTTCAAGACATTGAATGTGAACAGCTAGTTTTTCCCCTAAATCTGTTAGAGCCAAGGTCAAAGGAGAGATCAGCTACTAAGCTCTGGTCATCTAGAATTTTGAGATGCACATATATACCGTCATACCATCAATACAGATATACACAAATGATTATACTCTGAGGCATATCAGTTATGCGGAGTAGAAAGAGGGTTGAACTAAGAAGCAAGCCTTGGGGGGATGCCTGTAATGATTGCTTGAGACTTGGAAGTTGTGGAAAGGGGATTTGAGACCCACTAACATCACTTTTTCCCAATGAGAATTAAAAAGATGGGCAGGTGGTGTAATGGATAACAGAATGAAAAATCAAAGAGCTGAGTGTGAATTCATCATGTTTGTTACATTTACTTACATGCAAATACCATTGGGAAAGGTAGGAATTCATCTAATCTCACTCCAACCCCCATCTATGAGTTAAATAGCAAGGTAGACTGGACAAAAAATGCAGTATTTTAATCATGTTTCTATGGCTTCTTGGTGAATGAATGTATAACCGTCTTTATCTTCCTTTGAAATTAATTCAGAATAGTCGTTCCCCCCACCCCCATTAGATTGGTCATGTGAAGAAGATGTTAAAGTAATCCCTTTCATTATACTGAAAAGGAGCCATTTTAACACTCTCACCACACTAGTTTAATTAGGTTGTTTAAAAATAGTATACATTAGAATCTGTGGTTGATTACAGGTTCAAAACCATCATTCCTCCTCCTCTGCTTACTGAGAACCTGTTGCCCAGCTATCCTCTGATTACAACAGTCTTTTAAACTATAAACTTCTGCCTAGTCAGTCAGAAATTGAACGAGACATGATCGTCCAAGCGTGTATCACATATGGCGCTTAACTGACTGATAGCATTATTCTTTTTTTTTTTAAAGAATATACACATGAATTTATGTGCTATGACAGATTGGTATAATGCATTTATAAATATATTTATACAAGTGAACAATAACTTTGTCAATAAAATAAAGCATTTAAAATTTAATGAGTGAAGAATTAATTTCATTAAGGAAATAAATACCTGTCTTTTTCTAGTTCCCTTACCTTTTCTTGTATTCAAATAGTTAACTATATTAGTGATGTGTGTTCACTTGATAAAAATTAGGGTGGATAATATTCAAATATCCATTCTGTAGTGAGTATGATGCTAAAGTGATATTTTACTTACATTATTTACATTATTCAGACTGTTATGCACATCTTCATTGCCATATTCACAATGTTTCGGCCATTGTACACTTCGGCCTTCTTCAGGTGATTGGAATTTCAAACTGAACCCATATTTTGTCCACTGTTGTAGATTGTTCTAGTTCCATGTGCCATGCCTCTTCTGGATGTTTCAGTTATTTCCCTTTAACTCAACTCTCCAAGTTTGGTTCACCACTGCTGTGGCCTAGTATTGAACTCGCAACTCTTTGTGTCTAGTCACTGGATCTAACCAATGCCTTTATCCACTGAACCATCTGTCCTTGAGGACACATAGCACATGGAATTAGAACAATCTACCCAGGTGCATGAAATAAAGTGTTTGGTTTGAAATTCCAATCACTTGAAGAAGGCCGGAGTGTATAATGGCCGAAACATTGTGAATATGGCAATGAAGATGAGGACAACAGTCCAAATAATGTAAGTAATCATAATACCTCATCTCAGAGATATAGACAGATAAAGTGATATTTTATTAAACTTAGTACAGTAAAAGATCAAATATAAAGAAATAAAAATAAAAATAATTTGTTGTTCCAAGTCAGAACAAGGTTACCTGCTTTGAAACTCATCATTTGAAACTGAGTGTTACCTGTGTTTCACCACCAATAAATGACATTTGTACAAAATATAAGATCAAACCCAGATATGCCAAGAATTTAGTAAGTTTCACAGTCTGATACAAGGCTACAAGTGTAGAGGCTTGATAGAGAAACAAATCATTATATGAACAGTTTTTATACTTTCAATATTCAGCATTTGTACAGCTTTTATGCCTCCAAGTATTCATTGCTACCTGTACTGTTTTTATATCCATAAGTCTTCCTTTTAGCTTTTAATAAATAACTATGCTAACTGTAGAAATACCTTTGAAGTTGCAATTGAGAGAAAGTGTTTATCAAAATTTCATGTTAGCTAAAGATGCAACAGATCCACTTTATTTATTCATGTATAATGTGATCCCCTATTTTTGTATGATAAAAATCACTAATATATTTTATTTTTGTATAATGTAATTCCCACTTGAGTAGAAGTTTGAAACAGATTTTCAAGTTTTCTGATTTATCATCAGCCAAACTTGAATATTTTTACCTACTTAAGAGGAAGGAAAAGTGAGGGTTTTTGCCCCACAAAAATGTATCCACCAGTCAGGGATTGAAAATAGCCATTCATGTGAAGCTATTCTAGTCAAAATAGTTATATGCACTGGTCAATTGGTTATGACAAAATTTGATAAAATACTATAGTCATATAATGATAAACCTCATTTGGGATTTTGATTTTAGTATTAAAATTCTTGCACTAAATGACAAAAAGAAGAGTTACATATTTCTGGAAACCACCTTAGCCTGGGCAATACCAATTAGCCTTGCCTTAGCTGGGGCAATGCCAAGTAGTTTTGCCTGTATTCAAATTGACAGTAATTTTTTTTTTTAATACAAATAAAAACAAATGTCAAAAAACTACACAAAATTCAAACCCAGAGCAGAAATTAACAAAAACAAAACTAGAAAAAACACAAACCAGTTTAAAATGAAATGTAAACTCAGTGAAATAATTGTGCTTCAAGAGAGA